ATAGCGATAAACAGGGTATGGATGCGCATACACTCACATTACGTTACGTGTCATCAACACCATGGCAGCCCTATGGGTTGCTTCAACCACTTTTGTACACATAGCGCCGGCTGGTGAGTTCTGATCAACATGGCTTAGCTAAATGTCAGTACAGCGTAACACTATTTTGAATGATCTAATGGAGTCAGTCTGATTACCTGCTTCATGAGGTATCTGGCAGTCGATTATGCGGGGCTCCGAGTAACGGACTTACTGGTTTGTGATCGTTATGTCACGAGTTGTTTTAACCGGTTCGGGACGTGTTCTCCTTCGATAATTGCTCCCAAGACAAACCAAAAGACGGGTGCAAAAAGCAACTTCGTTCCGCTCCAAAATCATGTGCGTCAAGGAAGGAATTACTGGGTATTTGTGTGGAACATAGCGACTTACAAACACTGTCGAATCAGAAGATCGAAGGATAGTTATCAAAAGTAGTAGTTAAGGTCACCAAGCCACCACCACTGAAAATAGCGGAACAAAGGTAGAACATTTGAAAAATAGCGAAGGTTACCTCTCGACTATTCTAGACTGTTCCACTCATTCGGATTGGATAAACTCGTTTTCTCGAGGAAGAAGGCGGTTTTGGACGTAAAAGAATGGATTCTGTAACAGGCTCATAATAAACTTTTGGGTTGAAGCGAACCAAAATTTTCAGGTTTAGAGGGTCACTATATGTAGCTACCGATTTGGTTTATCGAGTTTAACTAAACGTGCTACTACTGTCTTGCTTTCACTGCACATTGTTTGGAAACAAATATACTGTTGTGAGCCAAAAAATAGGATTGCACAAGGGTTATTTATTCCGGAAAGCAACACACGGGTTCAGCGCCTAAAAAGGACTACAAACAAAAACACTCACTTGCGTATGGTACTCGGCTCAGACCGTCTCGGTTGCCACAGACGCTAATCCTCGGATCTTTTACGTATAAAAGACCATTTTGGGCGATGCTGCATCCTGATGCTTCTTCCTGTATTGTCCTGCGAGTACTTCGATGTCAAAATATATGCTCCGGCCCTACTGCTGAATAGTAGTCGTGTGAGTAATATATTACGATCGCTTATTCTCAGTACAATAATACTAACAACTTTGCAAGTGGAACATAACCTGAAGGATTCCACCATAAGTTCCAGTTCTCGGTATGGTTCCTTCAAATCGCCTAGGGGACTGGACATGAACGGCTATGTCTATCCATGTATACACAGATCGCGTTTGAAACTAAATACACAGTATGTACAGTCCATGAGTTAATAAGTGCCACCCTCAGACTAAAGTTTTGGATTTTGCCGGAGCTTTTCGATTGAAGGATTGATCAACAAGACAACCGCTTAATTCATCCACCGCGTGGCACTTCACCGGGAGTGATCACGTTGTTGACCCTGACAGCTCGTTTGACGTGTTCATGTACAGTCGAAACACACGTTTGGCCGCGTTTGCTGAAGCAACGTCGACTTATGGTTGTCGTCCGGTCCCACGTGTGTATAATTTGTTAACTCAATGTTCGTCCGTCTTGAGGCTGATAACACCGGCTGGTTTTGTCTAATGCCCGAGCCTTGACGATTTTTGTTGCTGCTACCCGAGAGCTATATCCGGCCTAAAATTTCCTGTCTACGAGTGAAACAAGTAAAACAAGTACTGATGCCACACGACGTAGTTTTTCTTTCACTCGTAGTATTCTTAAACGAAACTCCTGAAAGCCAGTCATACTCAACAGTAACCTTCGATTCAAATGTTGTTCACACCACTAAAGCGATATCTGTTAGGCCCTTTGCTTATGTCAGAAGTCGTAGCTAACTCGATATAATTCTGGAAGGCTACCACAATGCAAGCAACAGCACAGCTTAAACCACACCACCATATGTCCTATTTATCATTGCCTTGGTAAAGGATGGAGCAGTAGGAAGTCAATCAATATCCCAGCCACTTCATAGAGGATTTCTCCCTTAACCCACCGAATGCTACAACTGGATTGGGAGAACGACTGCACCTATTCATCAAGTTTACACTTTGGCTAACCACTGTAATACCTGTAGCACCATACATGTCACTGTTGTCAGTCAGTGAGCAACCCTACATCCGATTTTACCGGCGGTGTTCTTTTAAACTAGTCCTTTGAATACGTTACTGTTGAGCCTACTACTAACCCTCGCCTAAATATATTTGATAGTTTGTACAAGCGTCCGTTTACCTTTGCTGTTGTTGTTCATGAAATTCAGTTTCGTTCACTAGTCACAAATACTACTATCCATTCTCCGTGAAAACTTTGCGTTATTCAAGATATTTCACAGGTTTTAGCTTACATGTTCATTTCACATGTAAACACAATTGTGTCGTTGGTACTGCTGCCAATGAACAAACCTTCCAAGTTTTGTTTAATGCCACACCCAGTTGGTCAGTATGTACCGGATAATATATTCGACTAGCCAGTGGTGAGTAATTGCATAGGCATCGCTCTGAACACGCAGCTATCACAACACTTGGAATAAGGCTGGGGCCTGAGCGTTACGGTCATCAACATGTGCGTTTTGATGTTGACTTGACCTTCTGCTTAAACAGAATGCAACTTGTCACATGCATCGACATCACGGCTCAAAGTTCATGCAGGTTTCTAACTTACAACCACCTTTTTAAATTGAAATTTGAACCCCGCCACAGCCCTGCCCACAGGTAAGAAAGAACATAACCCTTTCGAAATAGAAGGCTTCTTTGTTCGCTTGTCGAGTAAATAATTGTGGAACCAGCGTCGCTGATGGGGACAAGAGCTTCAATGTTTGTGTGCATGTGTGTGTGTGTCATTGTTGATGAGTGAGCGAGTATGTTTGTGTTTGTGGGTTTGTGTGTGACAAAGTGATTACATTTCAGGTAGATCGAAAACATGCAGCGAGACAAAAAGAACGCACCAAATGAGGCAAGCACGTTTGGCAAACAACGGCGAGTTTCGTCCCAAAAGGGTTCTATGGTACACTCAACACCAAGCAATCACCTCAAAGGTATTCTATCCAGTCCAGATGGACTAGGTACAATCAGTGTTAGAAACTAGATTTAAAGAATGAAACTAGCCAGTCGACAGTGTGTATTGAAAGAAAGCGTCTACCTGATGAGAGCGCTAACGGGCAGTCTTGCGAAATATGCCACCTGCCACTGGAAATTAACAATACCATCGGCGCAATGCAGTGTTTTGGGATGCGCAAAGGTCATTCTGTTTACACTCGTCTGGTTCGACTTCAGCCCCGAATAAGGGTTAAAGGAAAGCCATGGGGTCTCGAAAGTTTTGTGTACACAGAGGTCCGGGTGAGTTAGAGGAACAGGGGTTCGAATGTAACTGTTTTGCGGAGGATCCATAATAAACGTGGGGAGAGGGGTAGAAACGAAAACCAAAAACACGGAACAGGTTAAAAGGGTGATGAGACGTTTACTGCGCAGTGGCCGCTCCTTCTTCTTCCTTTGGTTTAAGCTGGTCACGCCAACCGGCTTTCTGTTCGTAGACGCATGAAATGGATTTAGAACAGGTGGACTTCAACAAAAAAAGCTCCTGTTTTATCTGTGCACATATTATCAATGGCAAAATTAGTTGTGTTTACAGGCAGACGAACAGTGTGTTGATAATCCAATAGGTTATACCACATTATACTTAATATCTCGCAACAGTTTACTAAAACTGTTCTGGTGATTACTGATTCACTTCCGGGGTCCGAAAATCTGTCCTTCTATCGCCGACTTCTCTCTGTCTGGCCTAATAACATCATGAATCTTTGTGACAGATTATGGCGACCATTCGGATAGAAGTTGAACAATAGGGTTAAAGCTTTTGAATCAATCTGTCCCCCATGTGTTCTCAGTTCTGTAATGCCAATATTTGAGAAAGAAACAGGTTCCACGTGTTATTCGTATCGCTGAGTCACTCCGAGA